ATATAAACATATTTTTCTTTCATATAGTTCTTCAGTCAATAGATTGTACTTTAATAACTTTAAAGGCTACTAAAAATTCTAGCCCTTGCACATTATTCACATTATTTTGGTCTGTCACATGAGCTCATTTTTATTGATAATTATTTGTTCTTCCTTATTTTGGGAATGTAAAATATCCTATTTCAGAATTCTAAGTGAAATGTCAATTCACTTTTCCTTCCAATTAAAAGTATTTAAAATTTTTTTCTTTAGAGAGATTTTTGCTATAGGGTGCGTGCGCTCACCAGAGAGACAGAGACAGGAAGTGAGAATTTACCCCCTAGGGGGAATGGTCACACCGCAATCTATTCTCCTTCTGTCTGTCTCCTCTCAGGATCTTGGGTACACACGCATATATGCCCAGTGTGAGTTTTAAGCCACCAGGTCTGGGACTGAACAGCAGTCGACTCCGTGGGAGTCCAGTGATATAACCATTATGCCATCTGCTGGTCCCCAAAGTATTTTTAATTTTAACCCCAAAGCGCAGTAGATACCACATGGCCACGCTCAGTTCAAATCCCAGCCCTAGCAGCTTGAAAAATGTGCTGGATGAGTGTATATGCATGCCCAAAGTCCCAATGGCATGGGGAAATGGAGAAGAGTTTGTGATATGACCCATTTTGGGGTGCATTCTCTCTTGTCTTTGTGTCTGTCTCTCTCGGATAAGTGCACACACTTCTATATCACATTTAGTTGACCTCCAAGTGTTGTTTCACTGTTTGTAATTGACTTTAACTTCTACACTAAGGGTCTATGCCATGCAGTCAAATTATCTATAAACATTTCTCTGTGCATATTTACTGTTACTATGTACTCACTCTTGCTCCTTGTTTATTGTATTATAGTACATGTCACCTTTACCATGGCAGTATACAAATTTATTATTTTCATATGCTGGAGTATTTCTTTCATTCTAAAAATATTGATTATCTTTTAAAAGATCACATAATTATGAATTTAAATTTAAAATCATGAAATTAAATATGAAATTGTGTCTTATTTAAAATGTATTCAACCAGTAGTGTTTACTGAGCTACTACCATTTGCCAAGTACAGTGCTAAATATCATAAATAAATGAAATCAGTTTAATATTAACTTCTAAGCCACATCTTTCCTATGTTTAAAATTATCTTTCACATTTATAGTTTGTACTATGTAAGTATCAGCCATAAATTCTAAATAACCAAATATGGATTTTATTTAGTATCAGTGCTTTTCGTTCTTTTTATCATCTACTATCCTTGCCAAAAATTCCAGGACTTTCTCTTCAGGAACAATGATAATAGTCACTATTTAGCGAGGTCTCTGCCCCTTGTGTATTAGTTACATCACTTTTAATACTTACAGAAGTCTTGCAACATGGATAAATAAGTCTTTATCTTATAGTTCTAAGTAGTGATCTTGCCTAAGATCCTAGAGTTCTCTACTACTAAAACAAAGAGGCAGGTCCTGTTATCTTCTACTAAGCATTGTTGTTTGTGACTATTTCATAGGGTTAAGTCCAACTAAAAATTAAATTCTGAACCCAGGTATATAAAATACTTTAAGCAGACAGGTATGATGTCATGTCATTGTAAGAATCATATGAACTTTTCTTGACATATACGACTTTTAAAAGACTCCATGTAACTTCCTACTTGGGGGGGGCATCTTCAAAAAGTTCGTAGAAAATACATATTGTGAAAACTCTGTGTTTGGATTTCAATTTTGTTTTGCACCAAAGTGAACTCGTATTTTAATGACATTTTATGCAAACTTTTTATAGTCCCCTCATAGAAGAAACTTAGTTTTCCTTATCTTCTGTATAAACAGTTGCATAATTAATAATAATATTTTGTATTTATGTATTTTTTTAAGGAGAGAGTTTTTCTTTTTTGAGTTTACTAGGTTTATTTGATCATAGTTTTATGTGATACATGATCCTTCAGATTGAAAACTCAAAAACCCAAGGCGAAGTATCCATTTAAAAAAAGAATTATTAATTTAATTTATTATTTTTAATACATTCAATTGCTATGCATCATTTAGCTTATATAGAGTTTACCCAACATGAAATATACCTCAGACCAGTCCAGTTGAGAATACTATACACATCATCATCAACAGGAATAAACCATTTCTGTGTCCCACAAATGTCTTACCTCTCCATTTTTCTCCCTAATTCCCTTCCTTATACTCTTCCCCTCTCCCACTCTCCTTCCACACTGTCTCCAGTGTTCATAACTGTTTTCAATGCTTTTATGTTCTCCAATCTTTCAGTCTCTACCATAGATTGTAGATAGTTGATATATGTTAAGTGAAGACATAGTGTATTTCCTAGCCTGATTTACTTCACCCAGAAATAATTCATCCATATTCATCCATTTTCTATCAAATGCCAGTGTCTTGTTTTTGTTTTTTTTTTTTTTATGGCTGAATAGTATTCCATGGAGTATATGTGCCATATTTTTTCAATCCATTCATCTGTTCATGGACATTTGGGTTGGTTGGTTCCATGTCTTAGCAATCGTGAATAATGCCACAATTAACATAGATGTGCAAGCACTTTTATGACTGAGCATTCTCCTGTCCTTTGTGCAGATATTCAGGAGTGGAATTGCTGGATCATATGGTAGTCCCATTTGTAGATCTTTAAGGAACCTCCATATTGTTCCCCATAGTGGCTGGACTAGTCTACATTTCCATCAACAGTGTAGGAGCATTCCCCTTTCACCATATCCCTGCTAGCACTTACCATTTTTTGTTTTTTTAATCTTTGCCATTCTGGCCAGGGGTTAAGGAAAAAATTTTGTTTTGTTTTTTAGAGAGATTTTTTGCTACAGGGCATGTGCACTCGCTGGAAAGAGAGAGAGAGAGAGAAAGCAAGAAATCACCCCCTAGGGGGATGGCTACATTGCAAATCCCCTCTACTACATTCTCCTCTCGGGATTTTGGGCATGTACGTACATGCGCCCAGTATGAGTTTAAGCCTCTGTATGCGCCCAGTATGAGTTAAGCCACCAGGTCTGGGACTTGAACTGCAGTTAACTATGTGAAAGTCCAGCAAAGGTCATAACTAGTACTCCATCTTCTGGTCTCAAAGGTTTGGTTTTTATTTATTGAGTCATCAGAAAAGTCATGATGTGGGGCCGGCAGGTGACGGACGTGGTGGTTAAAGGTGCTGGACTCCCACATGGCCAACTGCAGTTCAAGTCCCAGACCTGGTGGCTTGCTTTCTCACTTTCCCCTTCTCTCTCTATCTCTCTCTGATTAAAATGGAAAATAATAATAATGATAAATAAGTTAAATAAAATAATTCTTAAAAAAATCATGGCATATTTTTACATAGACAAATACATCATGACTTTTCCAACAATCCAATAGTTCATTTTAGGGATTTTTTTTTCCCATTTCTATACAAGCATGCTCTTTGTTATCAATAAAATTCAATTAATCCATGATTAAAGCATTTTTAAAAGAAGTCAGCATATTAGAATCCCCCTTCTAAACTTCTTCAGTAATGCAAGGTAAAGTTGCCTGTGTTATTTACTTCTTGACAAAAATACCAATGGTTCAACAGAAGTATCTTTCTTTCCCTTCCCAAAGTTAACAAGATTCCATTGTCATTTGTGTAGCATATTTCCTCAGTCCATTCACCTTTTTCTTTCCCCTCTTCCTCTGTAGGTATCCCTCCAGCATTCTTAAAGTCCCCAGTGCCCTGTGGCTCCCAAAACTACCCCCAGCCCCCAACCCCATCACAAAGAGGTAAAGCTGATACTGTCATGTAAACTGATTAATTACCTGTGCCTGTAAGGCAGTATGTCCTGCAGAGACCTTAGTTTTTAGACCTTGACTTTAATGTCAAACCTGGATTTAAACTGAAATTTTATTACTTTGAGACTTTGGGACCTAGAGTAACTTATGTCATCTCTCTGACTCTCATTTTCTATATCACTATAATGTTTATTGTAAAAACTAACTTCGCAGTACTGAAAGGATTAAATAAGATAGTGTGAGAAAACTGACTAGTGGACCAGCCCTGTAATCTAGTGGTTAGGACAACTGGATCCCACAAGGTCGACTATTGTTCTAATACCAGTCCCAGCAACTTGAAAAGCAAACCGAGCACCTGTCTCGAATCCCAAAATGATGGAGAAAGGGAGAAAGGACCACACATCATTAGGGTTGGCATAACCCCTTAATCTCTCTGTCTCTCTGGTGAGCACATGTTCCTTCTAGCAATTAGAAAAATAACAACAGAAAAGGATTAGTACAGTAACCCTATTTTGTTGCTCATCACTATTATTATTATTATGGTTATTCTTTACTGAAATTTATGTATATTCAACTTTTAAAAAATAGTCAGTTCTTTATTCATCCTTTCTAACTTTTTTTTTCAGTTTTTGTGTTTTGTTTTGTTTGTATCATAGGGTGCATGCACTTGCCAGG